ATATACAAAATAACTGTTGTCAGATATTCACTTTGATGTTTACTAAACAAAAGTATTCCATGTAAATCGTGATTAATTCAAAAATATCTGTGACTATATTGCAATTGAATACGTAAACAAAATAACTCATGTTATTAAAAGGTATATTTACAATATATTAATTTTTATCGATTGACTTGTCACGTGATCATTTATAATCAAAAACAATGCGATATTGTTTTCTTCATTTTTTTTGTCTTTTTATAATCCTTTAAAGTCTTTAAAAAGGACAAAGTCTATAAAAAAACTAACATTATGTTTTAATTAAACTCTTTGTATTATATTACGTTTAGATCACAGCAAAGAATTTATCTGATAAGCGATATTATATCTTGAAATATAACCGCTTGAAATTTACCACAAAAACAACATAGCCAGCGGTTGCGAGTATAAATATCATCACTTAATGTATGCTTATTTTGTTTTGCGTTCTTTTATCTGCGGTTAAAGCAAATAATCATCGTTATATATTTAAACACAAAGAAGAAAAGAACAAGAACTCAGTGTTACACCGTCAACATAGATAAACAATGGATGCAAATAATAAAAAATCTTCAAATACACAACAAAAGAAAAAAGCAACAATACGAATTATTATAGAAGTGATCATTGCTATCATAATCATCATAGTAACCATAATATTATATATCTATTGGAAAAAATTAATTATTAATAGTGTACTAAAAGAAGTAGCACTTAAACCGGATTCAGCAGGTTATAAAACATGGTTAAATCCACCGACAACTATTACAAGAGCTTATCGTCTTTTTAATATAACTAATCCGACGAAAATTGTTACTGATCCTACTATGACAACAATAAATGTTCAAGAAACTCGACCATATTCATATTTATTATCTTCGACTAAACAAAATATTCAATGGTCAAACGATTATAAATCAATTCATTATTCAGTTCATCGATTATTTACTCGTCATCCAACTCGATTCGATCCATCATCTGTGAACGATAAAGGTGTGTTTATTGATTTTGTTCGAGCTATGTTTCGAGCACAATTTCCAATTCGAGCGGCACCAATGTTTTATCATTTGGGTGGCATGGAAACATTTTATCATACAAATGCTATTGAACAATTAGAAGGATTTACTTCAGATTTATTTAATATAATTCGACAAAAAATGACTGGATCAAATACAGCTAAATCGGGTTTTATCTATCGTTATAATGGTAGTCGAGCATACAATTATAAAATTAAATCAGGTATAAATATTTTTCGAATTACTCAAAGTCATTTTTTCAGTTTGCTTTCTGATTTTTATTATTAAATAAAATCTAACAGCTATATCTGCATAAATGGAACATAATTATGGTGTCAAATTTTGTGAGAGAAAAACTTGTATGCTGATTCTGAAGAATGTAAATCCCTTGAGAGGCTAACATCTTAAGCTCGAAGTAAATGATGAATGGACATTATAGAAATCTTCACGATGATAGATAAGATAGGAAAGATCCGATAAAGGTGATGACAGAGAGAGAAAGGTGAAACCCAAGTAACACTAGGAATATGAAGCGAACAATTTCATATGAGATAAGAAAAGAAAAAGATGCACCAGAATAAAAGCACTAAGAGGTGGTGGAGCTAGGTCATCCCGTGGCACTGATCATACCTTCATAGCAAAATAGAGTCAAATAAAAATATCTTCCATTTCACATTAAAAAAAATCTATTCGAGAATAATTCAATCTTCACATACAAGTAGTAGAACAGAAAATTGTGTGTGTTCATTGTTGAATATCAAGAGATTTCAATAATATAAACATTATTCTAACTGAATAAATGAATAACATTCATACTTCGATGCTATGTTGTAACTTGTTCCGTGTGATCGGTCTTCATTGTTTGGAAAATATCTTACAGACTATAAAACAAAGTTTAGAATAATAAATTATCATCATTCAGCTATTACCATTGCCTAAATCCTTTTGAAGTTTATGAGTTTCATCTAGTCTTTCATAAACGTTGGGAAGGTTTTATGATCCGTTGAGTGTTCGTATACACAAAAAGAGTTTATAAAAACAGTACCGGGGTATATGATTTTGCAACGGGTGACAAACTCTAGTCAAAAAAGCATTTATGTAGAGGTAGATTCCGCTCTTGTAATAGTCATGAACGGATACTGAAGGTTTATTATTTAACACTTACTTTTTTTTTACAGTGTAGATATGCGATTTTTCTTTGATAAAACTTGTTGAGAATAAATTGATTTGTTCTTATCAAAAATCATAAAACAGTGTTATTTCATGAGCTAACAGTTTTATTTTCTTCTATTCGTCAATATTGTCTTATTTGTTGAATGAATATATTTAAACAAGATGATTAAAACTTTAATATTTGAACTAAACTTATATCATACATGTTTTAATAATAATCAAATTTATATTTGGATCGTCATTCAAAGTGAAATATTAGCTTTATTTGGAAATTTGTAACAGATTGTTTTATTGAAAACCTACATTTGTATGTTGAAATAAACTGAAGAACATCTTAATTTATAACATATGCAATGATACGAAGAAGTTCTTAAATTTTAATTAATAGTGTGTATAATAATATTGAATTATTTTTTATAAATTTTTATTTCAGGTTTGATGGAAAAAGGTCAAGTACTTGCCTTTACCAATGAAGATGTTCCATTTACATTTTCTACAGAAAACTTGCATGGTACTGTCATCTATGATGGTCTTACATCTATACCAATGCTCTACAAAAAACCATCATTAAATATTTTTCAACCTGATTTTTGTCGTCCAATTAATGTGAGACACAATAGAATTCTATCTATGTTTGAAGGTATTCATGTTCATGAATATGTCATGAAATTAATCGATTTCAGTCAGTGTACAAATCCAAGTGATGTTAATACATGTCCAGAAGTTGATAAACTTGATGTATCAAAATGTATATCTGCTTCACTTCCAGAGAAAACAATCTTTTTATCAAAAGCACATTTTTATGGAAGTAATGATAAAACAAAGAAACAACTAAATATTAAAGGATTTACACCAACACGTGATCAACATGAAACATTAATGTATTTTGAACCCTATTCTGGTACGCCACTTCGTGCTCATTATCGTCTTCAACTTAATATTGAACTTATCATTGATCCAATGATAGAATCCGAATCGGGATCTGACCTTGAACCGACAGGTCGTGAAGGTGTCAAACGTTTGGTACCTATCTTATGGATTGATCAAGAAGTTCATGTCAATCGTACAACTATTAATAAACTAAGAATGGTTCATCTTGCTCTTCGTTATGGACAAACGTTTATCATCATAGTAGCCATTATTTTAATCATCATTATTATTGTTATTATAGAAGTTGTGGCTAGACGAATGTCCAAAAATGAAACAAATGAACGTGCCAATAGTCCTGAATCAGACACATTCCTTAAAAAATAAGAAGAACATTAAAAAGAACAGAACTATAGTCTGACCAAAAAGCTCATGCGTGTGACTGTTTATTGAATAACTCAAGAACGCAAACAGCTAGAGGCCTGCGGTTTTCATTAGTTGAAGGAGGTGATATGGGGATGTCTTTTTCTCCAATATTGTTATATACAACGAATTCATTTTAAAATCAACCCTTTTTACAAAACACCGAAGAAATGTATTTTTCGAAGGAGCAAATAGAGAATTACATTTGCTTAATATTAGGATGTATGAAGATAATTATTTAAATTACATCTTAAGCTATAGATCTAAAATCCCTCTATCTAGATCACATATTAAAATCAAAATCTCATCGAAATAATAGACCGCTATCATGATATTTTCCAATGTTTTTGAAGAAATGATTGATTTTAAAATGAATTCTTCGTATACAATATTGAAGAAAAAGACGTCCCCATATCACCTTCTTCGACTGATGAAAACCGCAGGTCTCTAGTTGTTTGCATTCTTGAATTATTCAACAAATAGTCACCGGCATGGACTTTTTGGACAGACTATAATAATAATAATTCACGGCTCATTGATTATATTTTTCTTGTTAAAATGCTTTAATTTACCAGTTGATCAGGCTTTTTTTATTCTATTATACTGCTTTTACATTATCATAAATTCTTGCTTATTTATAGTAAGATCTATGATTGAATAATAAACCAGAGAGAGAGTTTTGTCAATTCTTAGATTTCATTATTAAAGATCGATCAATTTGATAAGATTTTGTAATGGTTTCATCAAAGAATTTTATGTAGTAGCAATTCAAAGTATGGATCAGATATCTTATTCTTGAAAAATAATGAATAACCATAGAAAAGATTTATACGCTTTGTATAATAACAGATATATTATTCTAATGATTGAGTTTTTGCTGATATACAATTGTATGTTCGATCTACAGCCTAGGTTTTCTTTGTTCACTAATAATATATGGCATTCTCTGTGGTCATGAGCAAGTGAAGAAATCAAGACTTTTGCCTACTCTAAGAAAAACAGTCAGCATACAGTTATGTTTTGTTATTCACTTTCACATCGATAGAGCTCCATGAATATTGACTGCAACTTGAAGAGTTATTTACTACTTGATTACCTTAAAAAACTTATATTTTTTTTTATCAGATAATTTCACAATGATGGCTGGATTATATCGGGTTTATTCTTTAAAAAGATATGTCGAAATTTTACAATAAGAGCTTTTATCCAAAGTTAGCTTTCGTATATATTTGATTTGCTATGTACATCAGTCGAGTATAATGTTTTATGATGAGATAAATACAAAAAAATGGAGAATAAAGTAAAAATTCATTGTGCTAATAAATTATAGTCTTCTCTATATTTATACAACATGGAAAACATTTCTAAACAATTTCCTGAATATTCGTAAAGATATAAAATATTTCAGCGAAAATGCATGTTCGAACATGTTATTTAACAAAAATGAAAACAGCAATCATTCAATAAAGTTCTATGAAGTAAAATCACTTATTATTTGTTTACAACGAAATGAATTGAACAGTACGAATGAGAGCTTGATCTGAATCAGTTTGATTTGAAAAATCATGGGAAAGAAATTCGTTCTACATTTCAATCTACGATGTGAATAAAAACGAATTTTTCAGCAGAAATAGACGGAGAAAATAAAAAGAAATAAAGTCGTTCCATCTATCATGCAGTATTATGAACAAACAGATATGAAAAAAGGAACAAGGTAAAGATATATAATTGAACAGAACATTTCAAACCCTTATCTTCGTTTCTTATATTTTGATACTTAAAAAATTTCTTTTTCTATAACATTTATCTTCTCATAAAATATGGTTTTTACTTAAAAATCAATAGCCAACATAGCGAGAACTTCAATAGTTTCAAAAAATTGCAATTTGTTTATAATTACCTAACAGTTAAACGACTCATAATCAATGATTATTTGAAATATTTTTTTTTATGCAATCAGTTTCAATAACTGCATATTTATATATGAGATACTAACATATCTATAAGTAGATTGTTAAAAACTTATTTAGTTAACCATAAGATGTACATAATTATGCAGTATTTTTGATATTCTCATGATTAATTTTGTTGTGCTGAAGAAACTCATTCATGTGATTAAGAAAAAATAAATGTTAAATTAGATCATATGCTTATCGTTTTTTCAATAAAGTGGCTACACATTTAATATACTTCAATTGATAGATTTTCATGAACGTTATTTCAATCTAAATCATTAGCATCTAATTATCAGTGAAAGATTGTCTGAATGGATTTCCTTTCCTTGTCACATCTTACTTGTCACATATATATAGTATCATAAATTTCTCCTGTTTCAATCATAATAATTGTAAATGAAGGTCTGTTAGAAGTAAGATACGTCATTATAAAGTATCTTATCATAGAACTATTCATTTACTATTAGAATGAAATTTGATAAGATCAATATTCTACATGAATTAATTAATATAGAATAATTATTCACAAGACGATTCAAGAATTAGGGAAGCAATTTTTTTTAAAGTTGTAACTGATAGTGAACAAAGGAAAGCATAAGTTTGAAATTTAACCAATAAATATCATAACTAATGAGTATTATAAAGTGGACCGCAAAAGTTTAAGACACTTTTATTTTTGAAGTCTTTCATCGAAGATGAATAGCTAGATCAAATCCAAATAGTGATTTTGATAGCTCTTGAAATTCTCTATCGATTACAATATGTGCCAAATTTTCAAAAGAAACTTTGTGAAGAGAGTTCTCCAGAAAACTGTGCCAGAAGAATTTCAAGTCCTAGAGGATTTTGATAGAACGATTTTTCAATATAAGCATCTGAAAGAGCAGAAAATTCTGAACAAAATGAAGGGTCTCCCAGCTCTGTACGATATTCCATCACAAAATTATAAGCATAGAAAAAAGGAAAAAATGCGGTTATAATCGAATTTTAGGACTTTTGATAAAAATTGACGAAAAACCCGTTTTTTGTAATGCTTGTAACGTTGTGATGGAATAACTTACAGAGCTGGACGACCTTTCATTTTGTTCAGAATTTTCTGCTCTTTCAGATGTTTATATTGAAAAATCTTTCTATCAAAATTCTCTAGGACTTGAAATCCTCCTGACATAGGTTTCTGGAAAACTTTCTTCACAAAGTTTCTTTTGAAAATTTGACACATATTGTATTCAATAGAGAATTCCACGAGCTATCCAAATCACTATTTAGATTTGATCTAGCTACTCATCTTCGATGAAAAACTTCAAAAATGAAGGTATCTTAAACTTTTACGGTCCACTTTACATTAGCAATTAAATGTCATTCTTTTTCTATCACATACTGCCATCTATAATAACATTTGATTTGATTTGTTTTTCATTGAACAGCTGTATTCTAGCGTACATTGTTCTTAGACTGAGAACAATAATTTCAGTTGATTTTACTTCTTTTTTTTTTTTTTTTTATTTAAATAAATATTTATTTTATTTTATTTTTTTGTTTAGATAATTATATCTCGAAACTGGTGTACAAATTTTATAAATATATCTTTAAACAAAAAAAAAAAAAAAAAAAGCAATGACGGATAATAATCGGTTAAATCTTTCACCTAAAGATGAAGCTTTATTAATATTAGAATATCTTGAAAATGAACAAATGTCAAAAACATTTTTAAATTTTCTTGATGAAAGTAAACATCTTGTTGATCTTCGTACACGGCTATATGCAAGTTATGAAAATCCAGAACAATATCAAAATGAAAATGATTTAGAAGTTCTTGATTTTCAAAATTTTTTTAATTTATCAAAACACAATGGTTTGTTTTGTTTATTTATTAAATATCGAATAATAATTTTTTTTTTGTAATATTTTTAGAATGTCTTAATCAAACATTTTTATCTTCACAAATCGATAACAATAATTCAAATGATTTACTATTTGATGATGATTTTTTAACTGTAGGTTTTAATGATTTAATTAGTCAAACACCACCAATGGATTATCAACATGATTTACCTGATACACCAGTACCATCTGTACCACCAATAACAACAAATGATAATGAAGATTTTAATTCAACACTTGAACAATTATTTTCAATGCATTATGAAACATTAACAACACCATCTCATCAAATTGTTCAAGTTATATCCGAAACAAATCCAAAACCATCATCATTTACAAAATGTATTGTTGTAACACAAGATTTTCTTCAATCAATGTATACTCAACAACAATCAACAATAACAAATAATAATAAAAAAACAATGAATACAATTGATCGAATGAAATGTCATCGACAACGACGTTTAAAAATAGGAAAAGAAAATTATTATCAACAAAGAAAAATTATGCCAAGAACATCACCCGATCATCAATAGTAAAACAATTTCATATTTTTTTTTCAAGTTGTATCTACTATTTGACTTTATTTTGGTTTTTTTTTTCTTCTTTTGATTCTTCACTCAGGAAAACTTTTCTTAACGTCCCTATCGCAGATATAACTTCATTTTTTTTTCTTCTGTTTGTATTTTGAACATTGATTTACGTTGCACGGTCAGATATGATTGAAAAAAAACACACACAAAGCAAAAAATATGATATGTTTGTTACATTTTTAAAGTTAATTCATTAGATATATTTTTTTGTTTATTATAAATATCATCAATATTTTGTCGACAATTATTTGTTATTAAAAGAAGTATGTCAAAAATTTACAAAAAAAAATATTTCCTATAGTAATTTTTCACCTTTAGTAATTTCTTCAGTACCCATCTACAAAGTAGAATTCAACTAATGTCTCAACAGCATTATTACGAAAAATAATGATACATTATACAATTCATTCAAGAGATAAGGATGAACGATGAAAAGGTAACATTATTGATTCACTCGTAAACAAATTTTAAGAGTTAGGAAATCTTTTGAAACAATATTCTTTGTTTATAGATATTAATCAGGAATGTTATGCAGAAG